ACAGTCAGTCTAATTCAATTGCAAAGTCTGATAATGGAGTCTAGATTCTGGAGCAACATGATTGGAGCACCAATCTTTAGTCTGAGAATGTCAGAAGATCAACTGTCATAGTTTAAATTTTAAAAAAGCTTAAGTGTAATCTTCTGTGCAGTAAAAGAGATCTTGTCAACAGCCAGATCATCAGAAGAGTGAAAAACATTCAAATTATCAGAGAACTGATTCAGAAGAAGATTATTCATTTTTAGAACATCTGCATTTGTTGAGCAGAAAATCACAGATCTGAAAAAAAAGCTTTAATGAAGAAATGACTTCATTATTCTCTTTGGGTACAATCAAGCAACAAAGGAGTTCAAAGAGGTTGATTGCTACAGTGAATTAGAAAGACTGACTTGATCAATCATTGTTGTTGAAAGCTTTTCAAGCCACATGGCATACTTCACAGTTTTAGCATTCCCACCTGCAAGGCACATATATACCTGCAAAGAAAAAATAGTTAGCTTTGATCGTATAGAGCTGAATTGAAAACAGATGCTAACAGTACTGACATGGGAGTTTTGTGTAATAACAGAAAGAATTTGCTCAAAATCTCCCTCTAGAACAGTTGAAATACTCTCAAATAAAACATCAGGTGGTGATATTCTCAGACAACACTCAAATAAGACAATATTCACAGCATCAAATACTTTTCAATTAATCATTGGTGTGTCATCTCAGATCAAAAGATTAGTTTGCCAGAGAAGATTATAGATATGCAATTGAAAAGAAATGATGTAAGCTGAATTATTCTCATCAATAAACTTGATTGAAATCTGGAGAGATTTGTGCACAGTTCAACCATCTGGTAATAACAAAGCTGCAATATCTGTTGATGCCACATAGAAAACAATTTTCCACTCACTTTAGAATTGTGTGCAGAGATTTCAATACACATAGATCTTGTCTATACTGTCTGAATCATGCATAAAAAGAAACTTCATCTGTGTTGATCCAATAGTCTTCAGAATAGAATGATAACCATGATGTTGATCAGAATTAAAACTGATCTTAAGCCATTCTGTCTGAGCAAGCAGATCTTGAATATCATAAGCAAGCTTCTGTTCAATCAGAAAATTTCCACTATTCTCAGTCTAGTCATGTAATGAAGTAGACAGTTGATATCAAAAAGAGCTTCAGTTCTCTTTTTTCAAACAGTTACTGATATCAAACAGAACATAATTCAGATAACATTCATCATTCAGACTGAAAGAATAGAATATTCTCTCAATTACAATTTTCTGCTGTAAATCATCACATAAATATTTCTTGTATGTCTTTCAGATTGATTGACTGTTGCTGAGACCTCCATAAGTCATTGCAGAAACAAACATTTATTTTAGATATCTACTGATGTGAAAAAAATTCCCTTCTAAAAGCAAAGATTCTATTCATCTCTATCAATCAAGATTTTTAAGACATAGCAGACCTTCTCAAAAATGTCATGTAGAACTCTATTCACTGTGTGAAGAGACTCAAAGCCTGTCACTTCAGGCACTGAAGTAAGCAAACACCACAAGTAAAAAAGCTCACTCTGCAAAGAATTGACAGGATGTATAAAATCAATTTGAAACTGTAACTGTTTCTGAGAGTGCCAGTCATTATTCTTTCAGACATAATAAGTAAAAAAGTTCTTATAAATTAGATTAGTCTGATGCTCTGCATTGTAGACAAAATATTGAAATAGCTCAGAGAATCAGTTTTTATATCCAAACAAGTGAACAGTAAGTGCATGAACAGATGGATGCAACTCATGAATCTCATAGCTCATCAGACATCAAAACATCTCTACTTAATTAATATACCAGCCACTGACATTTCTTGCAATCTGATCCTCTTTATTGTTCTTTACTTCAGCAGTAGCAAGATTCAGCCCTTTGAATATATATTTGTGAATATATTTGATGGACTTGACAGTTGAACAGACTTTGACATTGATGTGAGCCTTATATTTTCATATGAGAAATGAATTGTAAGACACAATGTGACTGTCATCAACAACAATCAATGGTCAATTCTTATTAGAGAAGAGAATAGTTGTGATGAATTTGCAACAGTGGCAATACAACAGATAGAAATCTGAACTGATTCAAGCCTCAGACATACACTCTTTTGGAAAGTTCTTTTGACATACTCTAAAGACATAACCATTAGATTTCACTGTATGATATGAGATTTCAGAAGACACTATGATGCAAAAAACACATACCACTTGTCACAAACCTCTTTCAAACATAGAGCTTTTGAATCATCATCTCCACAAACATGAACCAAATAGAAAGTACCAATATCATAAATCTCAGAGCCATAAGAACTTAACTGATAAGAAATTTCAGCTGAGAGAACACAGTCAACTGACTCAGCATTGCAATAATGAGACTCATGATGTAGTCATAAAAAAGTGTGAACATGAGGAAGATCCTGCTTCTGAAACTCACTGCTATAAATATAATCTAAGTAAGCTTCCAAAATCCCATTCTTCAAATTCTTTATAAAAGCATGCAGCTTTATTTTGAACACACACACCATTAGATCTGACTGATTACATCATGTCTGAATACAGTGTTCCTCATGATCCTCCAGAAGCTTGTGCTGAATCTCCAGCCAACATGAATTAGCACTGAAATTGATAAACAACTCAGAAGAGCTGTACTGCTGAATCAATACCATTAAGTCATGATACCTCTATTGAAGCCACTGCATGCTCTCTACAACAGAAGCTGGAAGGTGAATTTTTGACTTGAAGTCATTAGAGTCAGAAGAGTCATATTTGGTCAAAGTACTCTGATGATGATAAAGATACTCAAGTCAAATACCTTCAGCAGTGACTCATCCATCAACAAGATACTGCTGAAACAAAACACCTTCTTGATGGAGGACATTGAGACATCTGAGCTGGGTGTATAAATGCCACTGAATAAACTCTGTCAAGATGATATGCTACTGCTTCAGTGTAGCACCATCTGACTACACACCATGAAGAGAAATCTTCTGAAGATATCCACAGCCTCCTGCAGTATAATATAGAGCATAATGCAAAGAAAGATAAAGAGAATGCTCAAAATGAATCTTTATTGAATAAGTGATGTGGCCACTGCTATCCACTTCTTCATCTGCATCATCCAACTTCAAGACACCAATTTGGTTTCTCAGCTCTCAACATGGAACATCTTTCAAAAACAGCAAAATGTCCCTATAGCCTTTATCTCCATACTCCACTGGCATCTGTAGAATAAGAACCAAAAGTTCATGGTTGACTGAAGGAGAATCATATTGCCAGCTGCCAGTTTTGTTGCCAACCAAATGCAACTCTGTTACTGTGAAATCAATTGAAGATATTGTAAATCAGAGGCACTGTGCAGAAGATCATGCGTGTGCATGAATAGATCATAAACTGAATTATGCTGACAGATCATTGTGTCAAGCTGCAGTAGAATATGTGTGCAATTGCTCAGACTCTGATTAAAATCAATTTGAGTGGCAACAGCAGCATCTCCATTGAGAAAGTAGAGCTGAGTCTGACTGGCAACAAAAGAAGTTTCCAAAGTCTTTTGCACATGGTACACAGTCTCATGAACCTATAAAGAGTCAGTGGAGATGATATGCAAGAGAGCAAATTGCTCACCTGAAGGATATAAGACCTTTCTCTCTGACAAAGTCAAGACTCCACACAGTAGCAAGAAGGTGTATATGTCAAAACCAGGTTGATGAGACAGATATATTGGTTGAACAATCTGACCTCTTGAGTTTGATCAATATAAAAGTTATAAAGAGGTGATGAAGGATCAGAAATCATATTCAGTGAAAAGCAATCTCTTTTACAACAGAATGTGAAGCTGAAGTGTTATAAATCTTGCAGCACAGCACAGAATCATTGCATGCCATTGGAAGAGTGTATGGAGAATGTGACTGGGAAGTGGAGCATGGTGAGGCTACAAGAATTATGAACTGGAAGAACTAGAATCTGAGAAGGTGAAAGTCATGTGACTGAATAGTCAGAATAGTAGTGACTATCTCAACTGGCAGATAGCTGAATAGTCAGGATAGTTGCAACTATTCCAACTAGTGGACAGGAGGATAGGAGTGACTACTCAGACTATTTACAATACTCATCATGTATATAAGAACACTCTTTACTGTTGATCAGATGGATTTGTTCATCATGATCAATTTTCTTTTTCCTCTTACAGTTCTCTATAGATTTATCTATACAGATACTATCATATCCTGATTACTTTTCATATTATTAAAGTTCTGTGATTCTGTACAATTGTATCTGCTCTTGCTACTCTTGAGGAGGCACAACAGTCTTGATTCAACTCTGACATATCTGTATGAAAACTCTTTGCCATTGGACAAGTCCACTGACTCAAGATCAAGCATCATTGGAGTATTGATCACTAAAGCCCCAATTTATTATGTTGGACAACAAGTTCAATAACACATTGATCATTCCTGACTCAGAAGAGAATACAACTGAGACTCCAGAGCTTAAGTGCAAAGAAAGAACATTGCATCACAAGTGAAAAAGAGATAAAGGTACAAATCCCATCCATTAAGAAGTCTGACAGAATATAGAAACTGTGTCTACAATCAGAATCTCAAACAGTGCACAAGAAATGATGGAAAAGATTACACAACTTGAACAGACAATAGAAATTCTGACTCAACAAAATCTTGAACTTAAGAATCACAATAAGCAGATTGCAGCTCAGATCATAACAATTCTCAACACCAAGAACAAAGCAAAAGTCAACTTATCAGAATCATTCAAGAGCAAACAGGAAAAGCTACAAACATTTCTAGAACATTTACAAATCTATATGAATATGAAGGGAGAAGAATTCAAAAACAATAAAGAAAAAGTAATGACAGCAGCATCATATCTTCAGAGAGCAGCATTTGATTGGTTTTACACCTATTTGTGAAACTACTATGAGAAAAAAGAAGTCAATCAGGATGACAACATGCTCAAAGTTATTAACCATTACAAGATCTTTATAAAAACACTTAAAATCACTTTTGAAGAAGTTGAAGAACAAAATGCAGCAACACAGCAGTTACAGAACATGTGGCAGAAAACATCACCACAAGAATATGCTATGAGATTTCAACAAGTATGCATCAACACAGATTGGGACAATGAGGCTCTAGCTGATACTTTCTATCAAGGACTATTCAACAACATGAACAACAAGACCACATGCATGGAGAAACAACCACAAAATCTGACTGGAATGATCAAAGTGACAGTTAGGATTGGAAATTAATTCTACAAACAAAAGATGGAGAAACAAGAAAAGATATTATGAAAGAAACTCAGCTTGATGAACCAGAAAGAATGAAATAAGACATCTCAAACAGACTCTTACAGATCTATGCCTATGGAATTACATGCAACCAGATCAAACACTCTTGATTAAAAAGAAAAAGAACAGAGAAAGAAAGACAAACTATATTTCTATTGCAGCAAATCAGGACATCAAGTAAAGCAATGTTGAACAAAGAAGATCAAACACAAAGAAAAAGAATTCAGGGCTATCTTACAAGAAAATGAAGAGAACCCTGAGAAACCAAAATATTATCTCTGAGCAACAATTCAAGAGAAACCAACAGATGAAGAATTACAACAACAGTTTCACAAAACATTTGAAGAGCACATCATGAAGGTCTACTGAGCACTATCAAGACAACCAGAGGATGACAGCAAGTGCCTGAATGAATTAAAAAGCAACAAATGGAAATTATGTGAAGAACTGTGTGTGATTAAAAGAAAAATACCAAGTGATGATTGAGAAATTCAATCATCAGAATGTGACTATCACTATAATCTAAAGATGAACAAGATTTGAGTTCCAACTCACAAGAAACATGTGAACTACCCAATCTACAGTTGTTCATGTGAACTTCATCAGAAACAACAAGAAGAGTTCATGCAATGAATACAGATTACAGAAGACTTCATGTATCACAGAGATTATGAATGCAATATCAAAGACTGTCAGCATTGCAGATGCAACACTGAAGAAAGTGAAGGAGAAATGTCAGACTCTCAGAATATGTCAAACACAGGACATTCAGAACATGTTAGAATTCACTGGAGCTTGTGCTATGAAGACAAATGCTCAATTCACAAGAATGAAAAAGATAGAAATACTATTCAAAAGCACTGAAGAAATTGAGAGCAACTTCAGAAAAAAGAAGAATCTAGTTGAGGAGATACTGAGATTTGGAAGACACAAAAAAAATGTCATGAAGCATTAGATCTCATGAAAAGCATGACACTTGAAGAAGAGAAATATTCAATCACAAGAATGTTACAGATTCAAGAAGAACAACTACATTGAACAATCTGCAAAGAAAATGGAACATTATCAATACAACCATGCAAGAGGCATTGGGACAAGCAATAAAAAGAAGTAAATGATTTATACCACCCATGCTATGACAAACTGAAATACAAATGTCAATGCCATTACCACCACAGCAAAAAACAGTGGAAGGCAACAAGATCACTGCACAGACTACAAGAATGTGAAGAATGTGCAGGATGCAGAGATATCAAAAGTTTAAGAAGAATGAACAAGATATGGTGTACCAACTTAGAGAATTGCAAGATACACAAACAGACATTCAAGATGATCCTCATTAAATTGGAAAACAAGTGGGCTGCCACAAACAAGAGCCTGTGAGCAACATAAGAAGACAAGCAAGACTATTAGCCATCAACAGACAAATCTGTAACCTCAGAATTACAGTGATCTTACTTGAATCAACATGTGCAAAGGTCTTAGTGAACTTAGAAGTGACTGGATTATTTATTGACAGAGAATTCATCAAACAAGCTGACATTGCAAAGTAAATAAAAGAACATCACTACCAGTTAGCAGGACTGGAAGAAGAAACTCTGAATAGAGTTGAAGAGAAACATACTCTATTGAGATGAAGATGCAAGAACATAGGAAGAGAGTGTGTTTTAAAGTGACAAACTTAGAGAATTATGATATAGTCTTGAGATACTCTTGGTTGAAACAGCACAATTCAGACATTGACTGGCAAAAAGGAAAAGTTAGGCTAATAAACTGTGAATGCTCTCTTGAATCAGAACACCATGATTAGAGACCCACACTCAGGAACAACTTGAGTGAGACATTGGTCATAATAAGTCAAGTCAACAGAAAGATACTGCAAGAAGAACAATCAATCAAAATAAAAGAAGAAACTCATGATAATCTGAACTATGATGAAACAGCAGATCAAACCATGAAGAATCTTGATGACTTGGTACAGCTGCAAGTACAGAAAGATGATCAGAACACAAAGATTAAAGAAATCCTACCAGAAGAATTTTGAGAATACATCAACATGTTCAGAGAAAGAGATGAAGAAAATAGTCTAGTGAAACACAAATTCTGAGACCACAAAATCAAACTACAAGAAGGAAAACAACCCACAAAGTTGTAAATTTACAGATTGAATAAAGAAGAATCAGCTGAAGTCAGAAAATACATTAAAGAAAATCTAGAGAAATATTACATAAGAAAGTTGATGTCACCAGCAGAATACCCAATACTGTTTGCATCAAAGAAAGATGAAACACTACAACTATCCATGGATTACAGGCAGTTGAACAGCATACAGTCAAGAACTGCTACCCAATACCACTGATTGAGGAAGTGCAAGACAGATTGAGAAAAGTAAAATGGTTTACTCTAATTGACATTAAAGAAGCATATCATCAAATATGAATCAAAAAAGACAATGAATGGAAAACAGCTTTCAGGACAAGATATGGACTGTTCAATTACAATATCATGTCATTTGGATTAACTAATGCACTGGCAACATTCCAAGCACTCATCAATATCACATTATGAGAATACTTGAACAACTTCATCATTGCATATCTCAACAATGTGGTCATATTTACTAAAGGAGACTGAAAGAATCATGCTGAAAAAGTCAAGAAGATACTAAAGAGACTGTGAGAATACAATCTATCAGCAAAGTTAAAAAAGTATGACTTCTTCAAGAAAGAAATTGAATACCTCAGACACATCATATCAACAGAAGAAGTACAAATAGAATCAGAAAAGATTGATGAAGTACTGCAATGACTGATGTCAAAGACTGTTAAAGAAGTACAAATGTTCCACAGACTAGCAAACTACTATCAAAAATTCATACACACATTTATAAAGAAAGCAAGATCACTTACACAGCTATTCAAGAAGAACAAATCATTTGAATGGACAAATGAGTATCAGAAAGCATTTGAAATAATAAAAAACAAGTTCAGAAAAAAAGAAATGAGACAACACTACAATCTGATTAAGAAATATGTGATTGATACAGATGCATCAGATTGTGCAATAGCAGAAAGACTGCAACAATCAGATGAACAAGAAAGATTAAGATTGGTTGAATGCTACACAAGAACAATGACATCAGCAGAGTAGAATTATAACATCCACAACAAGAAATTACTTGCAATAGTGGCATCATTAAAGAAATGGAAGATTGAAATGCAAGGAAATCAGCATCACACAGAGATCATCTTGGACCACAACAATCTATAATACTTTATGATGACAAAGAAACTCACAACACAACAAGCAAGATGATATGCAGACATACTAGTGCATCACAACTTCAGAATATAATACAGCAAAGAAACTGAAAATGCATGGAGCAATACACTAAGTTGAAGACCAGACTTGATGAAGAAGGAAAGAGATTCATGAGCACTCTTTAAGAAGTTAGAAGAAACAAAGAATATGATTCTGAATCAACAAGCTTTAAGAGCAACAAAAATCAAAGGAGAGAAATCAGACATCAAAAGAAAAATCAAGAAAGTCACATTGGAAGATGAATATGCAAAGAAGATTGACAACAAAAACAAGAACTTCAAGAAAGAAGATGGAATGATACTATATCACAGATTAATATATGTATCAAGAAAAATCAGAAATGAAGTGATGGTACAAGAACATGATACAGTTACTTCAGCATCAACAAAACAATGGAGAAGATCACAAGGACATACTATTGATCAGAAATGTGGACAGACATTCAACAACATGTCAAAGAATGTGAGACATGTGCATGAAGCAAAATCAACAAGCAACAACCACATGGGAAGCTACAGCCAATACCACAACTGTGAGGATCATGGAAATCTATAGCAATGGATTTTATCATGAAACTTCTGAAATCAAAGAATATGGATGGACAGGAGTACAATGCAATACTAGTGGTCAACAACAGACTAATGAAATACAGGTACTTTATACCATTCAAAGAAGCAACAAGCACACCAGAAACAGCACAAATGATACTAAAGACAGTGATCACTAATCACAGATTGCCAGAAGAAATAATCACAGACAGAGATACAAGATTCATGAGCAAGATCTGGACAACATTAATGACACTACTAGAGATTGAACAAAAGATGTCAACAGTCTATCACCCACAGACAGACAGCCAAACAGAATGATTAAACCAGACTTTGGAACAATATCTACAAGAATATGTGAACTATCAACAGAACAACTGGATTGAACTGCTATTAATGGCACAACTAGCATACAATGGATCAAAAAACACTACAACAGGATTGACATATTCTATATGAATTATGGCAGAGAACCAGAAATACAACAACAATCAAGAGTTGCATGATAGAGAGCTCAAGAAGCAGAGCTCACCACAATACAACTAAGAGAAGTGCAAGACCACATGAAGATGGACATTGAATTCTTATAAGAAAGAATGAAGTACTACTACAATCAGAAGCATCAGAAGGCACCTATCTTAAAGAAGAAGGAGAAAGTATTTCTACTTCAATAAAATATCAAGACAAAAAGATCAAACAAGAAACTTGATTTCAAGAAACTGCAACCATACAAAATCAAAAAGTGGATTGAAAAGGTCAACTACAGACTACAACTATTAAAGAAGATGAGAATATATTCTGTATTTCACATCTCATTACTGGAAAAAGCACCACTACATGCTAAGAAAATGCCCACAGAAATCAACAACAAACAAAAATATCAAGTTAAACAAATACTGGACCACCAGACAATCAGTGGAAAACTTCACTATCTAGTGAAATGAAAAGAATACAATATCTCAGAAAACATCTGGAAACCAGCAAAGAATTTTATGAACATCTAGAAGATTGTTGAGACATATCATCAACAACACTCTCATTCAAAAGAGCATTAATAAACAAAAAGAAGAATTCAGAAAGAAATTTCAACAGAGAAAGATTGTCTAATGTAGCAAGATGTTGTTGGATTTCCACTTGCTCAGCCACTCTCTTCTGTTCTTTCTCATCAACACACTTCAATTCCTTCAATGACTGAAGACCTGACTCAAAAGATTTGCCAGCACAATTATAAAGAAGATGTTTTTGTTTTTGAAGACAAAGAAGTTTGGCAGAGACAGCTTGAACAGTCTCAAAGACTTTTGTGTCTTTAAGTTCAAGCTTATCACAAGCAGCTTTGAGGTTTCATCAATCACAATCAGAAGATGCAGAGTCAACAACACAATGATGATTGAGTCAACAACATTCAGAGCACTTTATTGATTTATCAGAATGAACACACTCTTTATTGTGATGAGAACAGTAAATGCAGTGAGAAGAAATCACAACACCAATTTCTTCAATTTCAGAGACTAGATGCTTGTTATTGTGAGAAGACTTTGAAGCCATAGCAACAGAGCCATGAGAACATTCACTTACAGAAAGAAAACCTTTTTGAAAGCAAAGCAAGAGGACAATCACTCTTTATACCCAAGAGGGAGTGCAAGCAGTTGAGAACAACACACTGAGAAAGAAGAGGATGATGTTATAAATCTTGCAGCACAGCACTGAATCATTGCATGCCATTGAAAGAGTGTATGGAGAATGTGACTGGGAAGTGGAGCATGGTGAGGCTACAAGAATTACAGACTGGAAGAACTAGAATTCAAGAAGGTGAAAGTCACATGACTGGATAGTCAGGATAGTAGTGACTATCTCAACTGGTGGATAGCTGGATAGTCAGGATAGTTATGACTATCCCAACTAGTGAACAGAAGAATAGGAGTGACTGCTCAGACTATCCACAATATCCATCATGTATATAAGAACACTCTTTACAGTTGATCAGATGGATTTGTTCATTGGGATCAATTTTCTTTTCCCTCTTATGATTCTCTATAGATTTATCTATACAGATACTATCATACTCTGGTTACTTTCCATATCATTGAAGTTCTGTAATTCTGTACAATTGTATCTGCTCTTGCTACTCTTGAGGAGGCACAACAGTCTTGATTCAACTCTGACATATCTGTATGAAAACTCTTTGTCATTAGACAAGTCCATCAACTCAAGATCAAGCACCATTGGAGTATTGATCACTAAAGCTCCAATTTGTTATGTTGGACAACAAGTTCAATAACATGAAGACATCTCTACTGATGGCTATCTCTTTCACCCAATGCAGAGCATGGCACTTTGGGCAATCCACATCCATACAGTCAAGATCAAGTTCAGTCCACCAGAATGCTGACCCTCAACAGATCAAAAGCAACAATACACTTGCTGCTGGACCAGTAGATGAAGCAGAAAAAGCTTCAGATGATAAGATAGTATGATAACATTTGGCAGAAACACAGCTAGAACATTGAAGAATGTGAGTTTGTGCAGCACTGGAAGGTAACAGACCATGGCATCCAAAGCAGTATACTGAAATAGAAGAAGTTGCATGCTTGCAATCAGAGCATTTGGATTTATTTTGAGATCTAGAAGACACAACTGAGATAGAAGCACCACAAACAGAGCAAAAAAGTGTTTCTGAAGACATGATAGAATATAATAAAGTGAGTGTTAAGTAAATACAAAATTTATTAATATGAAAGGCTGATGCAGTTCTTAAATCTCAAATCACTTTCAACCTGATATGACACATGACCTAACTGGATGATCAATTCAATCCAAGCTACTGTATATGTAACACAAAGATTCTTTGCCCTCATTGACTGATTCTGATTATATCACAAAGTGACTCAACCACACTTGAAGCAGAGCTTGTAAAGATGCCACTGCATGTCAAGAAAGACAGACTTAATACAGGCTGAGTGGTGAACATTTTGCACATCACAGTCTCAGATGAGAAGATACTTTCCAACAGTCTGCCAGGCATCCATATGTTTAGATGGATAGATGAGAGCTGCACCCCAAGCATGCTAGTTATCTGGAAACCAATCCAGTTCCCCAACCCAGCTTGTACTTTAAGTATAAAACAGTCACAGTGAAGTGTAGCTAGGCTGGGTCAGTGGGACCAGAATCCCAGACCTGATACCAGCTTTTCTGTTCCATTTCCGTCCTGTGAGACATACCAGCTGAGACCATGTATGCCCAGGATGGTGCCTAGAACTCTAGTGTATGGAAAGGATTGAGCCCAGGAGTCTTAAATGCATGAATAGCTCAGAATCAGAATCCTAGTACTACAGGCATGGCCAGCACTGGCTGAAACTGGGATGGGATGGAATAGAACACAGTACAGCTTATTCAGTTTGAGACAGAGATATAAGCATATGGAATCCAAATCCCATCCCAGTCCTGGTGTTCTATGCATATTATCACAATATGATTGCAATATTATCACGTGTTTCATATAAAAAGTAATAAAATTTGGTAATGGTCTTAACATATTTCAACCATTTTGTGATGGTATACCCAAGTCACCCATATTAAATACTAGTGGTGGGATTCCAGTTCCAACCCAGTAGAAATGCAATTCTTATGGTGGGACAGTTCCAGCTGGAATTACTATCAAATTAGTATGGGATTCTGGTTCCATTATCTCACTGGAATGGGATATGGAATCAATATAGCTGCTACTAGAATTAAACCCCAAGCTGAATTTGGAACTGGAACCAACACACATGGGATTTGAGATCCCATCCCAGTCCCAAGCACCACTCTAAGTGTAGCAGTCAGCATGACAAGTCAAGACAAACTGTGAAAATGTATCCAGCTTATGGCCATCAACGACATAGTTAACCCAATTTGCACACTGGGTACCATTCACAAACACAGGAGGTTGAGGGTGTATATATAAAGTGGCTGGAGTAGAGACAACACAGGCCAGACAGTCAGAAAGGCAAGAGGAAGATTCATGCAGATTGATTAAGTGGGAAGAGCAGCACATCTTCAAAGACCAGCAGGTTGCCAAAGATCCAACAGAAGAGACATCAGTGGTCAAGTTGACATCACACTTAGTTCAACCAGACTTAGTTGATGACTGCTTGAGATTGAAGATACAGCGGGCAGATTCAGAGTTCAACAACAGAAGGTCAACTGAGCAGTCTGGAGAATAAATCAAGTCAGACATGGTCAAAGTCCACAAAGATTAGCATATAAACTAAAGAAAAGATGTAAAGAAGAGTGACAATGCCAAAAATATTATCAAAAGCATTGTTGAAGAGATACATGATGTTTGAGATCAAATATATAGCAGTAATCTCAGACCAAAAGGAAAGAAAAGGAAAGATGATGGATTCAAAAAATCAGCAGAAAGAGATCAACAGTCAACACAAGATAAAAGCTTATTCAATGAAAGAACTGCAAAGGGAAAGCCAAATACAATAGAGTTCAACAATGATCTTCAATAAGAAAAGTGGCTGATAAAAAGTTTTGATGTGGTGTGGCACTAAGAACCAACAGTCAATGAGTGAACAGCTGACTAAAGATTTTAATGAGGTGAAGCACTAAGAGCCAACAGCCAATGAGAATGCTTTCTCTATGCTCAACTCATAACATATAATATGATGACTGCCAAACTGTGAATGGCTCATTAAATCAGTTATCGTTTATTTGATAGTACCTTACTACATGGATACCCGTGGTAATTCTAGAGCTAATACATGCTAAAAACCTCGACTTCGGAAGGGGTGTATTTATTAGATAAAAAACCAATGCCCTTCGGGGCTCCTTGGTGATTCATAATAACTTGTCGAATCGCATGGCCTTGTGCTGGCGATGGTTCATTCAAATTTCTGCCCTATCAACTTTCGATGGTAGGATAGTGGCCTACCATGGTGGCAACGGGTAACGGGGAATTAGGGTTCGATTCCGGAGAGGGAGCCTGAGAAACGGCTACCACATCCAAGGAAGGCAGCAGGC